CAGGGATAAAAGGGGACATGTTGTTATTCTGGCTGGTTCTTTTTGGATTTGCAGATATCTTAACTGGGGAAAAAAAGTGGTGCTTAGGTTCTTTTCTTTATTGTTATTTTATGTATCTTAATTTCATAGTACTTAAACTGGCTTTGTATTTAGTTGACTTTTTACTTTAAGGAAGTTTGATCTTGTTTTTTTCCAAAGGAGAAACTATTTGCCTTTATCATGCTAAATTTCTTTTGCTATGCTTTGTTTAATAAACCTTTTCCGCTTTTACCTCATTTATGCATTTATTGCTTTTGAATCCACCAACGTCCTGCGCATGTTTTAACAGCAAAACATTCTTCAAGCCGTCTTGCAAGCATTTGTGCATGAGTTTAAGTGGGGGAAACTTGTCTTTTCTGTCCGGCTGTTTCTGCTCAAGCCCAGAAAATGAAAATCCTTCTCTTTTCCTCGGTCCACTTCTTAATTTCCTACAAGAGTATGGAAGGTTATTAGAAACCTGCAAAAATCAGCTAAAGTGGTTTGTATGTAGGCCTTGTTGTACAACGGAGTACGCAGGTCTGCAGTTAATCACATCATCGTTTCTCAGCTTTTCTATCTGACTTTTCAACTGGCATTTAGCAGATCCTGCGCTGAGCAGGGGTTGAACTGGCTGGATCTCCAACTCTGGTTGTATTTCTGAGAACGCATGACTATTTTGGCTAGTTTATGGGACCATCCCTTCTGCAAAAACAGCGACACGTGGTATCTTTTGAGGCTGCCCTAATGATTATAAGGGGCTCATTAGAGTTAAGGGACCCAGAATTCATGCTGCCAACAGCAATGGAAATGTCCAACAGTGCATATTTTACTGAGGTCAGCTTCTTTGGGCGTAAAATGGGTTATCTGTGAGACTGCCTTTGTCTGCCCGTCAAACAGCTGAAATATGATCAGCTCCCTGCAGGTCCCAACTGCACGAGAAGGCCGTCCGATGCCTTCGATCGATCGCTGCTCTCCTACCCCAGGCTTCCCTCCCCTTGGAGATCCACTCTGCTCCTTCCCTCCGGGAATTCAGGAGAGCAGTTAAGACCTGGTTAAGGGCACGCTGGGCTCTGGATTTCGTGGGTGGGAGTTTCTGTTTATTTTCCCTCTGCATAATTGTGTATTTAGTATATTTTATGGGTGAGAGTTTATTACATTCCAAGTTTCTTTCCCCCTCTCCGATGTCTTTTGAATGTGAGCTGTCCAGAGCCTTCAGGACTTGGTAGCATATAAATAAAGTGGATAAATAAATACGTAAACTAACAAACTCTAGAGCTCTGTAGAACTTGAATAGAGACGGCATTTCTTCCTGCCTTCATTTACTTCTCTCCTGGGGCTTCATCCAGCCCTTTCAATAGTCCAGGAACTACCGGCAGACCAGAGGGGGCTCCTGGACAAAACCTGAGCCTTTCAGTGTACCCACAGAGGACCTCCAAAAATTGCCATCAAATTATTTCTATTTTCATTGAAATGTTCAATTTTTTTTAACTTGCGTCCATATACAGATACATTTTTATCTTCCCATCAAGGAAAAAACAAAACAAAATCAAAATGAGAGAAGTAAAACATGTCACAAAGCAACATAGAAGGCAGCCCAGTTTTTAAAGACAGCGTTAAATCTCAACCGCACCGTAATATCGGTTAGTCACTCCATTATGGCCATTATGTTAAGGGCCAATTTATAATCAGAAAGTAAACACACATCGTTGGTCCAACTTTCTAAGTCTTGGAGATGCTGACTTTCCATCGTAACCACATAAAAACATCCACCCAAACTTGCTTTTCTTCTGTGAATTATCTATCTAACTAAATCCAGCTGGGTGACCTTGGATCAGTTCTTCCCTCTCAGCCCTAGGAAGAAGGCAAACTACCTCTGAAATTGCTGCTTAGAAAATTTCAGGGCCTTGTTCCACATTCACCATCAGCCTATCTAGCTACCAGTCATCTACCTGCCTACCTTCTCAACTGGCTAGCCGGCCTTGGCTGATTTTGGAAAGCTAACCAAGTTTGGATGGGGTTATGGAAGGGAGACAACCAGGAAACCCCAGGGATGTAGGCTAAACTGAAATGTTGATTGGAAGAAGGCAATGTTAAATAATTTCCGTAAGTTTGCAAGAAAACTGCACGGCTGCGTCCACAGACTCCCCAGGAGCCAAGCTCAGTTCAAAGCAAACTTTCCCCTTAGTTATACATTGCATGCCTTCACGTAGACCAGACTCACCCAGCGGATTGTGCAGTTCAACGATTGAACTGTTTTTCTTTATCCACACTGCAGCTTTAGTCAAAACGGCGAATTCAAGGCCACGCTGGCTGAGATTTAAGTTGTCATTGTGAGAGAAATGGTTGTGTTATATGCCTTGCTGGGAAAGTTAGTGCAGAGCTAGAATTCTGTCCTATGACCCAGGGGTATTGTATAATTTACTGATTTATTGATTTATTCGATTTATATGGCCGCCCATCTCAAACAAGTGACTCTGGATGGCCAACGATCATAAAATCAGTTAAAACCAAATTACAAACACAATACACTACCAAAACAAATGGAATATATACAGCAGCTGAGAAAGTTATAATCCATAGATATCAACGTAACGAGGAAACAGGGCCCTTCAGCATGCTTGGTACCCGGGCCCAGGCACATAACCAGGTCTTCAAGGCCTTATGAAAGACCAGCAGGGTTGGGGCCATCCTAACCTCTGGAGACAGAGGGCAGGCGCCACAGCAGAAAAGGCACATCTCCTAGTCCCCACCAGCTGACATTCCTTGGCTGATGGGACCTGGAACATGCCGGACTGAATTGGGCAGGTAGAAACAGCCTGGGAGAAGGTAATCCAGTCCCAAGCCATGAAGGGCTTTAAAGGTGACCATCAGCACCTTGAATTTGCACCCAGAAACACACTGGCAACCAACGCAGCTCACGAAGCAGCGGTGTTACATGTGCCGAGTGGCTGACTCAGCCCCCGTAACCTCCACTGACCCTGGCCCAAGACTGGAGTCCAACGCAGAGCAAATCCAACTGACTTTATCCACTGGATGGGCAGCATTTTCCTCACAGAGACCCTGTAGGTGTATCCCAGAATTACTCCCTCCAAGGAGGGTCCAAGTCACCCAAAACAGGGCTGCAGGGTGGCAATAAGGACGGAGAAATAATTATGTTTCGCCACCCTGACCTCCACGAGATGGGCCCTAATAGTGGCTCCAGCTCGTGTTCCATTGTCTTCGCTCTGTAGTTTGCCAGCAGCGCTCTAGGTGTCTCTTTGCCCTCTTCAACTCCCTTAGTTCTTCCATAAACCATGGGATCCATGGGTGTGAAGAGGCCACTCATCCAGTCCAAAGCCGCAGCCATTCTTCCATTCCAGGTGGCCACCAAGGCTTTGGCCAGACCATGCAGCAGACCTTGCAGAACAACCCAAGCTCCCTCTGGAACCCAGTCAGCTCCATCAGTTGCCTGGGTGGGCCGATCTTGTAGGCCCAGCCTCCTTGTGGTGGCACCGGAGAACTGGAGGCTCCCCAGGGAGTGATCTAACCATGATAGGAGAGAAACCAGTATTTCTTCTAAATCCAGAACACCCTGCCACTGCCCCAACCGAAAAACCAGATCAGGTACATGACCACTGTTACGTGTGGGGCCCTGGATGACCTGGGACAGGCCCATGGCTGTCATGGTGGTCATGAACTCCTGAATTACCTCAGATTCTGCCCCCAGAGAAGGCAAGCTGAGGCCCCCCAAGACCATAAGCCTGGGGAACTCCACCGCCAACTCAGCCACAGAGTCAAGAAGCTCAGGCAGGGAGGTTGCTACACAGCAGGGAGGTTGGTACAATAGCAACAGTCCCAACTGATCCCTGTTAGAGCCCAACTTAACAAATAGGGTCTTGCACCCAGCAATCTGAGGAGCAGCGCCCCTGGATGCCTTCCAACTATCTCGGATGACCACTGCCACCCCACCGCCCCTACCCTGGGGTCTTGGCTGGTGCCACACCCAGAACCCAGCTGGGCACATCTCAGAAAAGGGACCCTCCCCCCTTCCTGTCCCAGCCAGGTCTCAATAATACACGCCAGGTCAGCCTTCTCATCGACAGTCAAGCCATGAATGAGGGTGGCCTTATTACAAACTGACCTGGTGTTCAGCAGCAGCAGCCAACACCGTGATATGATGCATGTAAAAAGGAGGTAGAGCTTTAATCATGTGATTGCAGTCACCATCTTGAATTTTTTTGGGCACTCCCTCCCCCGCAGCCATACCTGATGGCAAGGAGTCTTTTTCCTCCAAAACACAGAACTTAGCGAGGACCTTAGACCCTAGACTCTGTAAGGTTCACAGCTACCCAGAAAACTTGAAATCAATCAATCAGCACAAAACAAAAGATTTCAAGCAGGGACTTCTCTAAACAGCGTTTTATTTGGCCAAGCAAAAGTCTGGGTGCTCACACCATGCACCAAGAGAGAGCAGGGTGGCACCCCCTTGCAGCCAAAACACAGAACTTAGCGAGGACCTTAGACCCTAGACTCTGTAAGGTTCACAGCTACCCAGAAAACTTGAAATCAATCAATCAGCACAAAACAAAAGATTTCAAGCAGGGACTTCTCTAAACAGCGTTTTATTTGGCCAAGCAAAAGTCTGGGTGCTCACACCATGCACCAAGAGAGAGCAGGGTGGCACCCCCTTGCGGACAAAGATATTCTTACAAGGGCAGAACTAATTAACATTATAATGAAGATGAGGTTT